AAATTAAATGAATGGACAAATATTTGCTAAAGCCTCTATGGAAATGGATGGGACGACTTAGAGGTTGTAGTTTATAGTAAAATTTTATTACCCTTCAGTACCAATGTTTCATTTTCGATAGCTTGGGGTGAGTATTAAATAAAAAAATGCAACAAAGAAGATTAAGGAAAGAATTCCCAATTAACAGAAGTTTATTCAAAATCAGGACAAATCGGCCCACCTCAAGAAGAGGTGAACCTGCCCAGGATTCGAAGTTACTAAATAAATCCACAGGGGATTTAAGCTCAAATCAGAAAGAAACAAGCATCATGGCCCAAAACTCAATAGAAATTATGGAAGAGGAACCTTTCCAACCCGTCAAAATAAATAGGAGAAACTCTAACGAAGAACTGAGACAACGCCCAACAACAAGCTCCGAAACGGGATCCGGAGTCACAACTTAAAATAGGTACCAGCTGCAAGAAACAGTAGCCACCGAAGAAGCGAATACAACCACCAAAAAGGAGAGGATTCCGCCACTAGTAATTATAGGACAAATTGGCAGTTATGCCACTTTTATTAAAGAGGTCAGACAACTGCTTGGGCATAATAACTACCCAGGATTACGAGAAATTAACGCAGGATTTTATCCAAACAAATACTGCTTTCCACACATATACAAGAAAGTCTGAGGTTACGAAGAAATTGGTTATGAAAGTGGCTCCAGGTATGGATTTGGACGAAGTCGAAGCGGAACTACGGGAACAAGGGATTGTTGCCAAAGTAACCGAAATGAAGACGAGACAGGAAGGTAAGACAAGTAAATTATATTTGTTGCAGGTGGATAAACAACAAGACCTTAAGGAAGTTAAGAAGATAAATGGATTACAAAACACACGCGTCAGATGAGACGCGTATTCGAAGCCAACAAGAGCGACGCAGTGCTACAACTAAGGAGTCAAAGGGGAGGCTAAGGATAGGTCCAATAAGGTGAAATGCTGCAGCTGCGGAGGAAAACACATGTCAAAATATCCAATGTGTGCAAAACACATTGAATATTTGGATCAACAGGCGGCAAGAAGAGCCAGAAGCAATCCACAACAAAAAGTAGCGCCTCCACCACATCCGTCTACTTTTAGAACCACAGTCAGCGGCGTCTCCTACGCACAAACAGCAAAAGGGAACCAACAACAGCAGCAACCTACAGCAGAAGGAATCAAGAATACATGGGCAGAGATTAACAAGATCGTCAACGTAGAAAAAATGCTTTTACTCCTACAGGATATGAAGGAAGAACTAATTTCACCGAAATCATTTGCAGAACATCCAATGATATTTATGAAATACGAAGAAATTTACAATGCCAATTAGGCATTTGAGAATTCTACAATACAACATAGCATCTCTACGGCTAAGGATCAACGAAATACGGGAGACAGTGATAAGACACAATCCGGATATCACCTGTCTCTTAGAAACACTTTATATGACGACAACACAGCTGCCAAGGATAACAAATTATGAAGGAGTCGGAAGAAGAGACGTACCAAACAAAAGAGGAGTGGCTATTTATGTTAAAAATAACATAGAATGGAACCAAATAGTCATAGAAACAAACGAATTCGAGAATGTAGGTGTCAAAATTATAACTACTAACATTTTTTCTATTTACAGGAAACAGTCGGACAATCTAACCATTGAAGAATTGGATGCCATGCTTAATTCAGCATCAACCGTCGTCTTAGCGGGAGATTTCAACGCCAAACATGAAGCCTGGGGATGTAAAGCAGATTCAAGAGCTGGTATTGCATTACTAAGATATTGTGAAGACAGGAACAATATGTTATTCGCACTAGATGAACCAACAAGAATCAGCCCTAGAAGAGATCACAACAACTCTACGTTGGACTTTTTCATCACAAAGAAGTCATTATAGAAGATGTAAGGGCTTACTTTGAATGCAGTTCGGATCACAAACCAGTTATAGGAAAGATGACATCAAGAGTTGACCTTCGCACCATAGAACCAGTTGAAAGATGGAGATGGAAAGATGCAAACTGGCCGAATTATAGAAGACAGCTAAACCAAATGGAGATAAAAAGAGAATTCCAATCAATAGAAGAAAAAGAAGAAAAAATCGAAGAATTAACCAGAAAAATTCAACAAGTCATGGAAGACAACATCCTAAAATCGATGACGAATAACAAAGGACTAATCATACCAACGGAACTTCAGGACATCATCAAGGATAGAAATAAGGCCAGAAGAGCATTTCAAAGGACAAGAAGACAGGAATTCAAGGATTATGGACACACTATTTGAAGAAATAAGGGTAAGACTGAGTAGTCTTACCGAAAACCAGTGGCATAACAACATTAGGAAAGCTGAAGAACAACACGGAAACGTATGGAAAATGCTGAAAGCCAAAAGAAGAGAGAAAGAAAAGATGCCACAAATCATCGACAACGAGGGAACACACTTTGAAACCAAAGGAAAAGTGGACGCAATCGCAAGAAGACTAGCAGCTATACACAGACAAAACCAGGACATGTCGGATGCAAGAACAAGACAAGAAGTGGACGACGAATACGACATAATTAAAAGAAGAAACGAATTCCTAGTAGAAGAGGAAGACTAAACCAGCCCATACGAAGTAGGAAAAATCATCAGGAGACTTAAAGGAAGCAAAGCACCAGGACAAGAAGGAATCCACAACATCACCCTCAAGGAACTTCCAAAGAAGGTTATAGTAAAACTATACTATATCTACAAATTTTGCTTGGAAACAGGACACTTTCCAAATAACTGGAAGCACGCGAAGATAATACCACTTCTAAAACCTAGGAAAGATGGAAGAAGACCGGAAAATTACAGGCCTATTTCTCTCCTTGAAACAATGGAAAAATACTGGAAAAAGAGTCATCCGATACATGGAAAACCACATAGAAAAAATCACGGAGTTCACCGAAAAATGGAAAATCAAGATCAACGCGAAGAAGACCCAATTCATCATGTTCACCCAAGAGACGAGACCACCAGCGAACGAGATTACAGTAGGAGGAAACAGGATCCAGGCAGCAAATTCTTCCGGAAGACTTAACTTCCGGATGCATACACAAAAAACTAAGGTTAAAGCAAATATAGCTAAAAAACTAATTCTTCCTTATATTTTCAGGTCCAGCCCCCTATCGAAAGCCAAGAAGATTCATTTATACCAGGCCAACGTTAGATCCGTGATGTTGTATGTAGTCCCAGTTTGGAGCTCAATAGCAGAGAGCAACTGGAAGAAATTGGAATCTACAGAGACAGCGTGTTACCGAATAATAGACGGAACATCGTCAAAAGAACGAAATACCAACGCAACCATCAAAGAAAGGGTCCAGTATACACCACTGAGGAAGGTGGCTGAGAACAGGACTATATACTTCTTCCACCAGGCCACAAGAAAACTCCATAAGACCAGGGATATCCTCGAGAAGAACAGGATCCAAAGGATACATACACAAACCCATAGACTGATCGACCACCTGATCAGGGTCTAGCCGGATGGTTGCCGGAAAACAGCCATGCAGGGAAGTAGGTACGATGCCATAAATAGTACCTACAGAAAAAGACGAGGAAACCACCCAGAGAAGTCCAGGATGCCGAGAGGGAGATACTACCAGAAGCAGACGGTGCTATAGCGGGACGTCAGAGAAGAAAAAAGACGGCTAAAATGAATAAAATGAGTTATAAATATTATTGGCAATAAACGTTTTTATTTTTATTATTTTATTTTATTTTTTATTATAAAGAAGATTGTATGTCGTATCAGAATATTTTAAATTTTTGTAACATAAAAAAGCAAGTTAGATATTGGAAACGGAAGATTCATTACATCATCCCAATATGATAAATAAATATAATCGACAGATGGAAGCCGTCGATCTACTTGATAATTCAGTAGCCAATTACGAATACGCACAGGTAAGAAGTGGTGGTGGCCTCTTTTTATCCTAATGAAAGTTAAATAGTTAAATCTTTGTTTTTTTTTTTATTTTTGGGTAGATACATTATAGGATTATAAAATATTTATGCATGTATAGGATATGTAATTTGAAATCTTACAATTGGTCATTTTTCTTCTGGGCTTAGGCTATCATGCATTGATGTATCCTGTTTTCGTATGACATCTTTTATTTCACAAAATAAAAAAGTAAAAGAAAACACTGACAAAAAACTTGTCAGGATATTCTTTTAATTTGTTTTGTAAAAGAACAAATTTTCCCGGTCTGTCTAGGCACTAGAACAGGGTGAATCCACTATTTCCGAGGTTTTTTAACCCTACGTCGACGGCGCAATGCCAATATTAAAGCAACTTTTTGTTGAAATGATAGATAATTCATACTATATTATTATATTATCGGTTTGAATTATATTTACTTATTTATTTATTTATTTTATCTGCTATATACACGGACAAGATACCACTGATTGTATCTGCGTCATTATTAACGCTCATGGAGTCACTACAAGACCAAAACGCGGCAATATGCGCGCTGTAAACTGTCGCTCGTGGAGCCATGATTTTACTGCTTTACTGCCGCCGTAATTTTACTGCTACTGCTAGCGACAGTCTGTCGCTCGTGGAGCCATAGCCTTACAGCAATTACTATTTTAATTGGAAATAAGCCAGACTTTAAGTTTAAGAAAAGTTTATTGACGTTTCAATTTCTACTTGATGATTATTATTAATTAAAGTTTTGCATTTTGAGAACGATTTCCGAAGTGGAAATTGAAAGGTCAATACACTTATTTTAAACTTAAATTGTGCCTTATTCCCAACTAAAATAGTGATTCACTTATATTTTTAATAATTAAGTGTAATGTCCTATATATCTGTAGCTAAAAAAAAACAGTGTGTAATACTACTTAACAGTCACGGTATATTTGTAAGATATCGGTATTTACTTGTTAAGGTTAGGCCAGTGTTCTCCGGTATACAAATTTTAGTAGACTTTAATACTTAATCTATCTTTTAGGTAGCTGGTTGGGGTCTTACCGAAAACGAAAAACCGTCTGATCGGCTTAGAGTAATTAGAATACCATACAAAGAAGGTGGTACATGTGCTAGAGAGCTACCAGAAAGCTGGGAACAACAGTATAACTTTTTAGACAAAATTTGTGCTGGTCGTCAGAATGAAAGTATTGCGGTCTGTCAAGGAGACAGCGGGAGTGGTCTTATATTTCAAAACCGAGAAGACAATAGGTATAGTAGCTCTTAAAATAAAATTAGATCCTAGGTAATAATATACGATAAAAATTAAAACGTCAAACGGCCTCGTAGGCGATATGACCCAGTTTATTATAAAGTACAATAAATGACATAAAATCTAAACGGTAATTACGGTGTGTTAATACACATAGACGGGAAGGAACAGATCGAAAAAATACAGATAAAACGGACCAATCCACACTCGGCCCTACAAGAAATGGACGGTGACTAATCAGAACTCAGTCACAGGAAACGTCTGTCTCAGATCAATACTTTAAGACCGGGTAAGTAACTGCCACTAAATCAATACTCCTATCAGAAGCGGTTGGTCTTCAGTCAATATCCTAGGGTCAGTGGAGTTGTTGTCAGATCATTACTCCGACAGAACTCTGCTTTCTCTTGCCTTGGCTGCTCTTTTATATAGTCGAAAGGTCTTCCATCTTCTCTAGCGCACATCTATGAAGGAGGAACTTTTGATAGATATGCGTGACTACAAATCGTTGACGATATCGAGACATGCAAATCCTCACAACGTGGAATAGAATGGAAGAATATTTTCGCATTAAATAGAACTTCCCAAATGAATTGAGAGCAATAGGCGGCAAACATGAAAGGATTAAAGCACCAACACATAGTGGCTCATGTTTCTCTTAATTTTTGGTAAACTCCCCGATAGCAATATTTTTAAAAATTTTAAACTGTGTACAGCATTAATGCTTAAGGCATTAAATATTCCTCCCTGCAAGAATTTACCAGGTAGAAATATAGCTCTGCCTCATGTAATAATTGCGGACGAAGCTATTCCTTTGCATACTAATCTTATAAGGTCATATTCTAAAAATCAGTGTCATGGTAATAAAAAAAATTAATTAGAGACTGAGTAGAGCGAAAATTGTTTTAAAAAATGTATTTGAAATGTTAGATAAAAAGTTTAGAATTTTCGAGCAGAAACTAAGTTATCTCATGACCATGGTATTTCTGTGGTACTTGCTGCCTATGTTCTTCACAATTTTTTAAGAAGTGATGCATGCCACTAGAAGGAAAGTGACAACGTTCGGGTATGAGAGGATTAAGAAACTTATATAGATGACAATCCATCATTTGATGCGGCTGAAGTACCAGGCCAAATCAAGGATTATTTTAATTCAAAAGTAGGATCTGTGGGTAGGCAAACCAAAAGGATTCGAATTGAAAGACAAGTGAGTTAATACAAAATAAAAGTGGTAAGAGGATACATACATACATAGGTTTGTAATAACAAATTTAATGTTGTCAATTAAATGTTTTCATATGAAGTTACTAACCTAGTTGGTTGAAAATATTCACGATTTCCTCCCAAACCCTCCCTTCGTTGTTTATTAGTGTAATATTTGTATTGTGAGTTATAAATCTCTTCCCAATTGTTAACTAACGCAATTATTGCACCTTGATCAATACTAATACCTTGACAAAACACTATAATTAATTTGGAACTGGAAAATAAAATGAACGTCTGGGCAGTTATGCATCGTTCACTAGTCGGATTTGAGGTAGGTAGCATCGGACTGGTCTTCTTATTTTTATGGACTGGTTTTTATTTATAGGGTGTCTATCTAGTTTAAAACTTGGTTTAATGTGAAGCATAATAATTTTTTTTTAAATGCAAGTATAACAATTTTTTAGTACACTCCTGGGTTATATATAAATGTTGGTGTCTTTGTTTACATTCAAATCCCCCAAAGAAAGAATCGGGTTACGAAGTTAAATAATTCATATAATATAATATGTGTTTATTTCTACGATTTTAAAAACTGGAAGTGATTCAAGGTTATTTTACGATAGTTTTGAAGCGGTCTAACAACAATTTAGGTTGGTTCCATGGTAAGAAGCGGTAAAAAGTATCTTCTTCGTAAAGTGCCTATCCGTTCAGGATGTTGGCAATCATCACGGCTATCTTTACTTTGTTTACTGCAGCGCGGAACATTTAAGTGGTAGTCGTGTTATACCACTTTCGTAAATTTTGAAGCCAGGAAATGCGTCTTCTTCCCGGTCCTCTCTTATCATTTACCTTCCCTTGGAGAATCAGCTGGAGAAGGCCGTAACATTCTTGATTTCTCATTACATGTCCTAGATATTCTAGCTTTTTAGTTTTAACGATCATGAAAATTTCACATTCTTTCCACATTCTACGCAGGACCTCCACATTAGTAACTCTGTCAACCCAGGATATACGTAAGATGTGCCTATAACACCACATTTCGAAAGCTTTGAGCCGATTCATACATGCAACAGTCAGTGTCCACGCTTCCACTCCGTAGAGCAGAGTTGTGAATATGTGGCAGTTCAATAGATGGCATTTTGTTTTTAATGATATGTCCCGATTGTTGAAGGTGGTTCTCATTCTAACGAATGCTGCTTTCGCTTTTATTATTCGCTGTTTAATTTCTGTTAAGTGGTCCCATTGGCTATTTAATTTGGTGCCTAGATTTGTATATTGCTTGACTCTTTCGATATTCTGTTGGTTAATTATAAGTTGAACGTTTAGTATTGGTTTTTTACTAATTGTCATAAATTTTGTTTTCTTTATGTTAAGAGCTAGTCCGTATCTGTTGTTGACTTCTGTTATGCGATTTGTTAATATCTGTAAGTCATTCAGATTATCGGCAAAAACTATAGTGTCATCGGCATATTTAATGTTATTCAATCATTCACCATTTATTAGTATTCCTTTCTCACAACCATCTAAAGCTTCTTTAAATACCCATTCAGAATAAATATTGAACAACAATGGAGTCAAAATACAGTCCTGTCGTACTCCGCGTTCTATTGAAATTTTATCAGTAAACTGGTCTTCTATTTTGATTTTGGCCATTTGATTGTAGTAAATGTTTCTGATAAATCTAAGACCTTTGTTGTCAATTCCAATTTTTTCTTGCATTAGAGTCATTAATTTGTCATGTTTTACTCTGTCAAATGCCTTCTGGTAATCTATAAAGGATACGTATATATTACAATTCACATCCCTGCATCTCTGAAATAGCACCTGTACAGTAAAAAGGGCCTCCCGTGTTCAAAAAGAGCAAAAATAGCATCACGAAATCCGAATTGTGTTCTTGTTAGTTGTTCCTCACATTTTACATATATTCTTTTGTGAAATGACCTTTAGAAATGTTTTAAGTAAATGGCTCATAAGGCTTATAATTCTGTAGTCTTCGCACTTTCTCGCATTGGGTTTTTTTGGAAAATTTATAAAAGTTGACACTAACCATTTTTGAAAAATTATGCCTGTTATTGTTAAATATATTTGTTAATCATTTAATGCCATCATAGTCCATAAGTTTTAAGAATTCTGAGTGAAAATTATCAGGGCCTACTGCTTTACCATCTTTGGTGCTTTTGATGGCATATTTTACTTTTTCGACTGTAAATGGTGGTCCAGATTCGCAATTGGTGTTTGTTGTTAGTTTAATTTTAACATGACAGCTAGCAACTAGCTTTATTTTGTTTTACATTAGTTTGCTTTGGTTTTTTAAAAGAGGATTAACCTCTCTAGATAATTTCATTTAAAAAGATAATTCTTTAATTGTAATAATTATTTCTGCCTCAGATTATAGCCTAGTAACTTATAGCCCATTAACAATTTTTTTTAAGTTTTGTAAGCATTTTCCACTTGTAAATTGAGTTTGTAAACAGATAGGACCATGTAAGTTTTTTCTTCTTTATTATTTTGGTATAAATCTCTGTATCTATTAGTATAGTATTTTTTGTGCCATCTATATTTTGCCATATTGCTATATTGTGACAACTGTTTGTGTTGAGACAAAAATAAATGTTTAATTTATTTTTTTAAACCAATTTGTTTATCTCTTATTTTAGAAAAGTCTCCTTACCCTTTTTATATTTATTTTTCAGGAAGGAAAAGCCTTTTTTCTTTATCCAAAAGGGGGATCCTTCGAAGCTGCGTCCATTTTAAATAGCTAGATGTCCTTCTCGTTGTGATTTGTCATTTTGTCTAGAAGACCCATTTAAGTACCCTCTTTTTGTTATTTTTTTTGTATTTGCCCCTATATAATCCCATTGCTTCATTCACTTATACACGACCCCAGTTCTCCAAATAAATCCTGAGTGCCGTTCGCATAAGTATCGTTTATTTTGCTTGCCCTATCTCCACCCCCAGTAACTTCTGTCATAATTTTGAACACCTAACAAAAATACCCTATGTGGTATCCAAAATATTTCGTTACAAATGTAACTGCATAATGGAACGAGTCATTTTATCCGACGTGTCCGTCGCGTCCGCTCCGTCTCTATGAACGCTTACCTTAAGAGTACTGAAGGTGTAGAAAATCTATCAGCACGCTTGCTGCCACCAGCAACCGCGAATAGGCGCCCAATTAAAAGGCACCCAGATAACTTACGAGATATTAATTAAGCTGGAGACTGCTAGTTAAGAGGCTTATAAGAACTAAAAAAGAATTTTTCCGCCAAAAAAAAAAATAAATAAAATCGGTATCCACCCCATGCCAATATATGCTCTCATTTCTCGAAAAAGCTGTATAAAAGACTTATACACGGATATAATTCCATCTATGGTGAATTTACTTGGTCGTGGCCATAGTGATTGTTTGGAAAAGTGTCAAAACTGATTTAAATATTTTATTTTTATTATTTTGAATATGACCTTATTTAGTTGTAAATCTTATTTAATCATAATCTATTAGCTAATTGTAATATGGCTTTAGTTTATTTTTTAAATTCTCGAATTCAAATTGCTGATTAATTATTGTCAAGTTCTGAGAATGGACTTGTCTGAAAAGAATAGGTTTTTGGAAAACATTTTTCAAACCCAAGCATTTCAGAGTCCTTAAGGAAACGTACCCGTCCTTTGTGTAGAAAGTTTAAAATGTCATTTTAAGCTTAATTTACTGCTATTCGCGAAGGTCCTAAAAACAGAACCACCCTAGTCGACTGGGGTACATACGTGTCTTCTTTCATATGATCACCCATTATGCAGCAAGGTGCATAATGGGCGATGCTGTTGTGTTCGTCATGAATACAACAGCATCGAGATCGAGTGTTCGTTTTCATCCTATACCCTGAGACCTTAGAATCCGATGTCAGTAAATCTCATATTATAGAATTGACAAGTTATAAAATCTGCCAATTGTTATTTGAATTATAACATTTTATTTTACATATATTTGCTATAAATATTTGCTATTTTCGCTACTTTTATTTACAGTCAAAGTACCTATTGCATTTTTTTCTTCATTATTATTTATCAAATATTATTAACCAGCGACCTCGTAAGTTTATTACAAACATTATTTGGCCACTTCGACCGGATGATAAATATTTATAACTTTGATTCAATTAATTTCATTGTGTTTCAATTAATTCATTTTAATTAATTGTTTGTTTTTGTTTCTTTTCATTTTAAATCTGATACGGTCCTTTGCGCAGTCTTTTTAAACTTAATTTAAATAATTTTTGGTCATATTTACGTAAAAATTTTTAAATTTATTTCTACTTTTATAATTTATAATATCAGTAGGTACTTTTATATTACACATTTTAACTTATTATAATATAATTAATTATTCATATGTATCACTTTTGACACATGATTTATTAACGTTGTATTACATTTTTACATTTTTTTGTGCTGATTTTTGTGAATTATTTTTATTCTACTTTTATCGATACTTGCTTTGTTTGTACAGAATTGTGTCTAAAACCAAATAGCGCATTTCTCTTCTTTCAATCTAGGGCATTTCTTGTGTTCGATTTGCTTAATTTTGTTCGCATTGTCCTCTTTTGTCGTGTCTTTTATCTTACAATGTACAGCAAAAAATAAATTAAAGCCATATTACAATTAGCTAATATATTATAATTAAATAAGATTTACAACTAAATAAGGTCATATTCGGAATAATAAAAATAAAATATTTAAATCAGTCTTGACACTTTTCCAAACAGTGATAGTGAATAAAGCGTTAAATATTCAAACAGCTTTTTTGGACTCAAGTAGTAGTTCGTAAAATGACATTAACAGGTAAAATATATATTTAAATTCTTTGTTTCTTTGAAGGTACTATATACACGGAATAGTAAGCATAGCTCCTAATCTATATACTGCTAGCTGTAACAAACAAACAAATGCTCTATACACTAGCGTGGTATTCTACTACGCTTTTATAAAAAGGGAAATGAACAAAAATCATTTAGAAGATTGCAAACTTCCAGCATATCCCAAAAATGGAAAATGGTATATTGAAACCGATGCACAGAAGAAGCCAGGTGATATCGTAACGTCCAATACTATTTTACAGTTTTCGTGTAATAGGAGATATATATTGTCTACTGTATCGCAATATTATGACTGTGAAAGTTCCTATAATTCTCCTACCTGTCTTTGTAAGTATAATTTTAAATATTTTTAAAATTATTTATTTTATAAGACCTTTAGTCTAGTCCTCCTAGATTTTACCTCTAATAAAAATATGCACAAGCTGAATTTTATTAAAAATGTCAATTTTGGGATCCTTAAAAACGTTGCTGAAATAATTTTAAACAACTTACTTACTTACTTAATCAGTAGACCCATTTGTATCTTTTGGTGTTGGGCCGTTTATAATACAATTCATTAAACTACAATATTTTACACTCTTCTGAAGTGTCCTAGCTCTTAACAAACTTTCTGCATTTCTTCCTGTTGTATGCTATCTGTGTTGCTTCCTGTAAAGTCTTATCCTTACTCTGCATTATCTACGAGATATCACTGTTCCGTTCTTTAATGGGTCTTCCTCTTCTGTTCTTTCCTATTAGTTTGGTCTATTATGGTCCATCCGGGTTAGATGTCCGAAACATGTCAATTTTTTCTCCTTGATGGAGTCGAATATCGGTTTGATTTTGAGTCTTGTTCTCATTTCTTCGTTTCTGATTCTATCAGTTCGTTTTACGTCGATCGTTCTTCTGAGGTATTTCATCTCTGCTGCCTGAATTCTGCTTTGATGCCTTTTGTTTAGTATCCAATTTTCTGCTCCATATGTTACTGTAGGTCTATATTATATTGTTTTGTATATTGTCATCTTGGTCTTTGTTGATATTTCTTTGCTATCGTCCTCGATGTCTCCTTTGTTGTTTATTACTGTTCCTAAGTATTTGTATAAATTTGTCTGTATTCTTTTTTGTTGGTCTATCATTATTTCTATTTGATCTTTCGTCCCTTGTTTCCTGGATATTTTCATTATATGAGTCTTTTTTGTTTAGGTTTAAGTTGTATTTGCTTGCTTCTAGGTTCCATTTCTCTAAGTTGTATTTCAGTTTTTCTGCTGTTTCCGCAATAAATACTATGTCGTCTGTAAATATATACATCTCAGCATTTATCATTTGTAGTCTGTTCCTACCAATGCAGTATTTCTTGAATGTTTTCTTACATTCTTTCACTACCTCATCTGTAACATTTATGAATAGCACTGAACTAAGACCTTGTCTAACTCCTTGAGTTTTTTCAAATGGTTCTGACTATATATTTGTGTAATTCTTACTGTGTTTGTTATTTTCATGTATATACTCTTTGTTGGTTCTATCAGTTCTTCACTTACTTGCTTCTTTTTTAAGCTTTCCCATATACCTTTTCTTTTGACTTAATCGAATTGCTTTTTCCATGTCTATAAAGCTCAGATATATTTCTCTATTTTATATAAGGATTTTTCTATTACTTATTGCATGGTAAATACATGGTCTTGTGTTGTGTCCTTTCCTGAATCCACTATGTACGTCCTCTAATTTATGTTCTATTTCTTTTCTGATTTTCCTTTCTATTATGGTTTCGTATACTTTTGCTGCTACACAGTAGTGATAATATACCTCTATAGTTTTTGCAGTCTCTTGTGTTTCCTTTCTTGTATATAGGTATAATTACTGCATTTGTCCATTCTCTGGGTATTACTTTTCTCTTCCATATTAGGTTATATATGTATAACAATTTTTCTTTTGCTTTTACTCCTATATATTTCATTATTTCTGGTGCTACTTCATCGCTTCCTGGTGCTTTTCGAATATTCATCTTTCTTGTTGCTTTGTCCAGTTCTTCTTTTTCTATAGTTCCTGGATTTTCTGTGTTTCTCATGTAAACTCTCTTGACATGGCTTTCCTTCTCCATTGTATTCGCTTGATTTCCATTCAGTATCAGCTGGAAATGTTCCCTCCATCTTTCCATTATTGTCTTATCGTCATTTATTATTGTTCCTTCCTTATATTTTGTTGTGTTTTTTCTTGTATGTATTTTTTTCACAATTTCTTCTTTTCTTTTATTTCTCTTTTTACTCTCCATCGTTCCACCAAGATGTACGTTTCCTCCTGTTGTTATTTCTTGTAGTTCCACATATTAATTTAGCTGTTTTTATCATCGCATTTTTAAATTTTCCCCATTCTTCTTCTATTGTATCTGTTATTTTATGTTTATTATCCCTCTCTTTCTCTAACCTTTCTGAATATATAATTTTCGTTGTTTCTTCCCTTAGTTTATAAATTTTTATTATTTCCTTGTGATTTCTGTTTGTGTTTTCATTTCTTTTTATATCTTTTCTTTTTCTTTTGAATGTGGTTTCTAGTAGATAGTGGTCACTACCAATTTTAAAACTCCTTTTCACCCTTACATCTCTTATCCAGTTCTCTTCTGTTTTTTTGCATTATAGTATAGTCTATAATTGATTGTTGGTCTCTTGATTTGATTTCTCTTGTGATCTTGTGTATTCTTTTATGTTGGAAGTGTGTGTTCATAATCACCACGTTATTGTCTAGACAGAATTCGAGTATTCATTTTCCATTTTTGTTTATTTTTTCCTCCCCATAATTTTTTCCATTTTTCTGCTTTTTCTCCACTCTACTGTTCATGTCTAGCATATGATTAGCTTTATATTGGTTTTCTTTGTATCCTTATCTGTGTCTACTCTTAGTAGTAATCATTCGTTGTAATATATCCAATTTTTTACTTTGTTGATACTGTCCTTCTTTATCATGCACGCTACTCCGGCTTGAGCTCTCTTCGTTTCTTCCACTCCACTGTATATTAGTAACATTCCGTTTTCTAATATTATTGATACTCTTATTTTTTTCTTTGTCTCTGTTATAGCTACTATTTCAATGTTCTTATCTCTAAATTCTTTCCCCAGTTCTATTTCCTTCCCATTTATACCTCTTACATTCCATGATGCCATTTTTAAAATTGTTTTGTTCTTTTTTGTGTTTAAGTTGTATTTCAATTTGTTTTTGCTTTCGTTTGTGTTATTATCTTTAAGTCTGCTCATGTCCCTTTTCTGTGCCTGTTTTGTTTCTCGGTCCGTTATTGTGTTTTCTTCAGCTAGTTTTTTGAAGTTGGTTAAATTTTAAACAAATATTTAAATAAAGTTTATTATCACTTTTTGTTTAAAATGAATCGTTCATAAACAACGCTTAAAGCGACCGGCCATTTTGAATGTCAGTCACGCGCACGAAATCAATTTTAAATAAAATTAAGCTTTTTTTTTATATAACTCTGTCAATATTATAGTATTATTAAAAAGGTTCTGAAAATACACTGCACCCCAAAATTAACGCATAATTTTAAAAACCCTGGTAAATTAAATAATTTTAATGTTTCGATTTTTGTGCTAATATATTATCGTTACCCCCGGTATATTGTAAAATTTATCGAAAGAACGGTAAAAAACGCTGATGTTTTTATCATTTTTTGCAAAAAATTAAAAAGATGCTAATTGTGCTTCATTTTATTTCGAATTTAGTTAGGTTGGATTTCATTGTGCTGAACGTTTAAAGGGGGTTTTCAAGTTTATTAAGTGTTTTTTCTTTGAAATGAACCTCCCGCAGCAAGAAAATAGAACGTTACTGTTTTAGAATCGTTACTCTTCGCGAAGAAGGATACACTCAAGTAGAACTCGCTGAACGTTTTAACGTCACCCAGTCAAAATTTCAAGAGTGTTAACACGTTTTTCTGTTACTGGAAGTAACTCGAGAAGACCCGGTCAAGGCCGTAAAAGGATTACAACTCCTAATCAAGACCGGTTTTTGACACTTCGTACACTGAGACAAAGGTTTGTTTCCAGTACTTCTCTACAAAATGAATTTTGGGATCGTTATAACTTTAGAATCAGCCAAAATACAATTAGAAGAAGACTTGCCGAAAACGACCTACACCCTGGAAGGGCACCAATTGGCCCATTATTGACCAGAGACCATAGAAGGCAAAGATTGAATTTTGCTCGTGAACATGTTGATTGGAATAATGACGATTGGGGAAGAATATTGTTTACCGATGAATCCAGGTACTGTCTTTTTTCTGATGACAGGAGAAACCGAGTGTATAGAAGACCTGGAGAACGCTACGCACAGTGTAACACCGTAGGGACTGTACAGTATGGCGGCGGCTCGGTAATGGTATGGGGTGGGATTAATTTAGAGGCTCGTACGGAATTAGTTAAAATAAATCACGGTCGGCTTACATCGCAGAGGTATATAACAGACATTTTAGAAGAGCATGTCGTGCCATTTGTACCATTTATTGGAGATAATTTCATGCTTATGCAACATAATGCCAGGCCACATACGGCAAGAATTGTGCAGCAGTATCGTCAGGAGGTTGGAATTCCTGCCATGGATTGGCCTGCGAGAAGTCCTGACCTTAACCCAATAGAACATGTTTGGGACATCATAGGCAGATGACTACGACAACTACTTAATGCACCAAACACATTAGATGAACTGTTTTTGCGGTTGGTTGAAATTTGGGATCAAATTGATCAAGAAGAAATCAGAACGATTATTCTCAGCATGAGAGATCGTTGTCAAGCAGTAATAAATGCCAGAGGAGGCAATACTCGATACTAGTACACGGTAGTAGTATTTTCTTCAACTTTAAAAACTTTTTCTTCATTAATTTATGATGTTAGTTTGTTTAGATCAGTTCGTTTAGATGTTATGATTTATGTTAGGATGTTATATTGTTAATTTCAATACATTTTTTGTAAAAAAAGAATAGTTTTATTTAAGATGTTCTAAAACAACCATAAAGCAGAAAACAACAAACAAAATTTTTTTCATTACAACTCAAAATAAAAATTTTAAAATTATGCGTTAATTTTGGAGCGCTGTGTATTTTATCCATACTTCCGTCTTTTACTATTAAATTGTCTTCACTATTTTTTTATTGGAAAAGAGTTGAAATTTCCGTTCTTTTTTTGTAAAGGATATTGCTGTGTAACTTCTATCTCTGCCTTACTTTAATTTGTTGTTATTTATAGTTTCTGTTATTTGTTTTTAATAATTTTCTTGTTTCGTTTTGGTAGTCATCACATTTTTGTTTGTTCTTTTTTCAGTTGCTTGTTATTGAAACCGATTCATCCTTATTATTTACCTCTTTGTAGTTGATTTCAACATTTTTTATTATACCAAATTTTTGTTTTATTTGGTTTATTTTTCTTCAAATATGTTTTCCCTTTTAATAATTATTTCTGTAGCTTTGTCATCTAGCAACTTTTTTTTATTTTTCTTACAATATTTTGTCTTCCTTTTTGATAATTATTTTTGTAGGTTTGTCATGTAGTTTTGTGCAAGTTTTATTATTACATTCTCTTTATGAGTTAAGGATCTGTTTTTTATATATTTTTTTTATTTTGAACCATTTTGCAATTCATCTCTGTTCCTTTGTGAGTTAACTTTTGATTTATTGTTGTTGTGTGTGATTAAACTAGATTTGACTTTTGCTCTAACTAAGTTATGATTTGTGCCTCTATTCTTCAGAGGCTTCTTACGTATAGGATCTTATCTTTGATAATTGATATTGGTATTCCTCTGGAGACTATGTTTACCTATTGTAGATTGTAGGCTAGTTTATTTGCATATTTTGGTATTAAATAGAGAGAGAGAATATTCTCTTCAGAGAATGCCGGAAAATAGATGGCCAAAAAAAAAATAGAAGAATGGACTCCGCCAACTAGAAGGAAAACGAGGTAGACCAAGACGATCCTGGAGAGACGATGTCGACGATGCAATGACCGCCAGAGATCTAACAACTGAAAATTACTTCGACATAAAACGCTGGAAATTAGGATGCGAGAAGCGGCGCCAGCTGTAGAAGACTCGTTTGTTATATATATATATATATATATATATATTATATATATATATATATATATATATATATATATATATATATATATATATAATATATATATATATATATATATATATATATATATTATATATATATATATATATATATATATATATATATATATAAATATGGTATTAAATGCATTGCATAGTAATTAGCATTTCCATGTCATATAAATCATAAAGGCCTCATCTTTTCTACCATTGATGCATGCGCTTGGATATTTGATATGTTTTCCTATTCCCCTCAATTATTCTAATGTAGCATATCCTTTTATTTATACGTTTAAAGTTTACTATTAGTTAGTCATCTATGACGACAGCAGCTAGCAAATGTACTTATCAACTACGCGACTATGTATATAGTTGTCGAGGACATGAGAGTTGGATTTAATGGTAAAATCGAGTTCTATTTCTAGAGTTCCTAATCCTTTTCTTAGACAACACTGCCGCTTATGTTACCTTCAAAACCTGTATTTAAAAATTTTTCGTTCGAATTAAAGCTTACTTCGAATTAGTAAAACAATGAAAAATTAGTGATTGGAATGGATTTTAGTGCTATGTCCTAAGGTGTCGTTGCCCAGTGGGACAGAGATAGTCTGCAAAAACTCGAACGATCAACCCATACAATGTGCAGATGTTGCTGATGGTGGGAGTATAACATTTACGTGTCCAAGTGGCTTTGTGACAGACCGAGGAACAGCATCTAGTACGAGGTAAATTTGATAAATATTTAATGTATTTAGTGTATGGCGTAATATTATATAATCTTCCTTCTTCTCTTGTCAACTCCTTTTACGCCCTAGGGTGTTAAATTTTTTGCTGCAATGGTGTCTATTCTCTTTTTCCATTTCTTCTATTTCTCGATATCATTTTCATTTATGTCTAATTCATCTCTTTTGCTTTACCTGCTTTTATAGTTTCATATATGCAACTTTTTTGGTTTTCCTCTTTTTCGTTTCCTTATTGTTGAGTTCCAAACTTCTGTTTAGTAACCTTTAATTGCTTTCTGGTTTTAAGTAATTTTACTTATTATTTATTCTTGCTCTAGTTGGTTTCTTATTTGATTATTTTTGAGTCTGGCTTCTCTTGTGCTGTATGCTATTTTCCGCAATTCTTTTATTTCACAAGAGTTTACGTTACTACCGTATTCTTTTCGGAATACCCAGCTTTCACTTGTATGTGTCGCTACTGGTGGGTTAAGCGTATTATTTGCTTGTTATTTAGTGTTGTTGTTTATTTATTTTCTTTTATCTTATATTGATTAAATGCCTTATTGGTATTTAAATGTTGAGACTTTATTTAGTTTTTGTTCTTTATATGTTATTATCTTTGCATTGTTGCAGTTAAAACTTGTTATCTTGCTTTTCTTGATATTTACTAGCATATTTAACTTCTCTATCTCTTCTATCGACATGTTTACTAATTTTTGCATCTTGTGACAATCAGCTATAAGGACTATGTCCTATGCGTAAATTAGTGTTTTAACTTATGTAGGGATAATCGTTCTAGATCTCGTACTCCATATTATCACCTCAGTGGGCCCGTGCGGACTCTGACTCCGCACTTTGGTATCTTCGTGTATAACTCGCTTTAATTTGTTTCTTTCGCCCTGCAATATTTTTTAGCTTTCTGCATTGATCGATTTACTATTAGTATGGAGGCATAGTCCAGCCATTACAGGTTTGAGCAAGCCAAATTTGACAAAAATATCAATTTTGGGACCCAAAAAAAATGCAAAAAATTTTCCACTTTAACCCACGTGTTTTCTCCTAAAATCCTCCTCGTATGGGATAAAACCACAAAAAAAAGATTTACCATGAAAATGAAAAATATTTAAAATAAAAAATGTAGCTGAGATAATTTTGAATAAAATGATTTATTAGCACTTTTTGCGTAGACGGTCTTTTCCGTCCAGCTTCTACAGCTTATTTTAAATTAAGTGTCGAGCCTTTCCACGACATAGTTAATCGCGCAGACAATAGAATATCTATGATCAGACCCATGCAGTGGCGTTGCAATTTTAAACAAATGAAATTATTTGAAATCGCACTAATTACAAAATTATTACTCAGTAATAAATGAAGTTTGGTTGTATACATATTGTTTCATAGATGCCAAACTTTTTGTTTGTTATAATATCTTTAATAATTGATACTCTATAAAGTTTGGTAAAAGTTAATTTTAAATTTAGTAGCAGCAGCCTTAAAACCATAATTATTAAGTCATTATTAATGACTCCTTAATGAGTCGTTAAGGACATACAAAGAACTGATAAGAATTATCTATGAGAATTTCTAGTCACTGGATTTTAAACGATTCGTAATTAAGTCTCATTATGTTGTCGAGACTCAACAAGAAAGGTGATACCATGCGTATTAGAACTATTTTGTAGAATGGGGATGGTTAAGTGTAGCACGATTAAACAGATTAGATTGACATCAGAATCCGAATAAATAGTTTACAATGTATTTAAATATATGCAAATACTATTTTCTGAAGATAACCGAACCAGTATTAAAAAACGTGTTAGTAAAGCTACTGAAGTATCTTTACGTACAGTAGAAAGGATGATTCAACAAGCAAGTATGTTAACAAACGCAGATTCAGATAATACACTAAAATTTCCAGCTACAACACTTGCAAAAAGAAAAGTAGCCGCGATAGTAACCTTCAAGTCTATAAGGAGTATCTATGAAAAACAGTTAACTGGAACTACCATTCATCGTTTTCATGAGACTAAACGTTGTACAGAAAAGGCTTGAAGAGGTGTACGAGTGGACTGAATCTCTACAGAATTGTAAAAGATTTGGGATTTAAATGGAAGAAAACAAAAGATAATCGACGTTTATTAATTGAACGGAATGGTATTTGTATTTTACGCATTAAATATTTGGACACAAATAAATATTACAGAGGCGAAGGTAAGTTAATTGATATACAGAATGCCCTTTTGATTTTTAAGTCAGGAGCTTAAAAAAGTTAATTCCCAATCTGCCTATTGGATCTGTTGTTGTTACTGATAATGCGTCATATCATAATTTACAAATTGATAAAACACCACCCACCAGTAATTCTAAAAAATGGATATGATATCTTAGTTGACAGAAAAAAATTGACCATTTATAACGTCAATGTTAAAACCGCAATTGTATAAAATCATCAAACGACACAAACAATATCGTATTCAATATAAATTTGACAAGTGCTGCACGAATGTAGACAAGTTTCTTTAAAATTTCCGCCATATAATCCCAACTTCAAACCTATAGAAATGGTTTGGCCGGAAACAAAAATGAAGTTGCAAAACAAAACGTTTATTTTGAGTTAGAAAACGTAAAAGTGTTGGTGTAACAAGAATTTGCTAAAGTAACTGTAGATAACTGGAAGAAAGTGTGTGAACTTGTTGTCAAGGTTGAAGATAAGTATTTGAAAATTGAACGTCGCATAAATGTAATTACTGACGGATTAAGGATTGATTTAAATTATTCTAGTGCCGACGACAGTGCATCTGATTATGAAAGTGAATAATATAATTTAACATTAAGGTGTACCTATGTAATCTATGAATCTATGAGAGGTGAAAAGTAAGAAACTACTAAGGAATATAATGCAGGGTAAAATCAAAGGTAGAAGAAGCGTAGGAAGACGTAAAATCTCGTGGCTACGCAATCTCCGTGAGTGGTTTGGATGCAGTTCAATTGAACTATTCAGGCGAGTAACCAATAAAATTATAATTGCCAAAATGATTTTTAATCTCCGATAGGAGTGGAACTTGAAGAAGAAGAAGAATGTAATCTATGTGAATATAAGTTTTCCAAACTCTCCAATATGCATGTATTCTGTTTTCAATGACCCCTTTATTAAAGTTCCACAAATATTTCTCAAAATCACTGTAAATTTAAGATATAATAGATAAACAATTTTCAGATATTGTCTAAATGGAGTATTTAGCAGTTCCCCACCTTCGTGTGTACTTAAGACATTATATAAACCGAAAGTAAAAGTACCAGTTACACCTCCACCACAGCCAAGTAACGGGGGAATCGGTAGCGATGGAATTAAAATAGTGTGCATCTACCCCAGTTGGAGAGCATATCAAGGAGCATATCCGGAAAGTTTTGAACCTTCATTGTGCACCCATTTAATCTATCAGTTTATTGGTCTTTCTGAAAACGGAGAGTTGCGAATAGAAGATGAATCGTTGGACCTTAAAGATAAAGGGATAGGTAGGTATTATTAATGACTATAATAATGCTTTATGATTCTGTATAACGTTCAGGTTTAACCCTTGGACGACCAGAGAATATAAATTTTCCTTATCCTTAACGTCCAGATGTATACTTGAATTGAGTATATCAACTTTGAATTTATGTCGTTTAAACAACATTGCATTCAGTGCACGCGAATTTAGGGAACTTTACATTAAAGTCCTATGTTTAGTTCGTATTTTTACGACTAAAAGTAACGGAAACGCTGCTTTGTCTCTCGATATTCTTTGTGATAGGGTTAGTGTGCAGTTGTGCACGGATGTTTTTTATAGTGAAGGACTTGCTGTGTTTATTATTTGTAATGGAAAAATGGCTTGAAAATACAGGTGCTAAGGATACAAATTTATAAATTTAAGTACTTTTCTTGTAATTTTGGGTAATTTACAAACTGTGCAATGTAATGTGAGCTTTATTATAGGCCGTTTTTTAAATGGTTCCCCTAAGTACCTTTGGCTAGTAATGCATGATTTTTTCCTACATTTACAGATGGTATGGAATCTAAAAAAATATCTCTAACAAATGCCCAGATACTTGAAATCATTAAAAATGATTTTATTTATTTATTTAGCGTATGGCTACATCACGGGTTCATATTTATACATATAATATAAATTATATAAATTACAAACAACAGTAAATACAAAAATATTATTCTACAAACAAACATCTAGATTATAAATATATTCGATTGACTCTTTTGTAGCAGCCATGAAATCTGAAGGGTTGCCGTTATAGGATCTAATCGGGCATTCCTTTACCATGTGTTTTACTGTTTGCCTTTCGGCGCCGCAGTCGCAATTTGGTGATTGTATTTTTCCCCATCTAAAAAGTCAGTCGGAACATCTGCCACAGTTCGTCCTTATTCTATTGAGTGTGGTCCAAATTCGTCTCGGTTGGTTAAAGCCCTCAGGTTTGCTTGTAATACATGGCATGTTCCAGTTAGCTGGTACAGCGTTATTCTCCCATTGTTCTCTCCACCGTTCAGTTACATTAAAGTTTTGATCTACGAGCCTTTTTGCTGTTTTTAGAGGCGGGTGTCTTGAACGGAGGCTATTTATGTCTCTGGCGGAAGTTCTGACATAGGAGCGGAGCTCAGGATCAGTATTGATTTTTGTAAATTATCTGACAATGGCATGTTCCCGGCGGATGGGTGGTGAAGCTATATGATTTAAAGCTAGTAACCAGTAAGTGGGCGTGGCCTTGATTGTGCCCAATATAGTTCGCATGGCTTGGTTGAGTTGGACATCAACACGGTGAGTATGTGGACTGTTTATCCATACTGGTGCACAGTATTCCGCTACGAGGTATACCAGTCCTAATGCTGTCGATCTAAGTGTGGGTGCTGAGGAGCCCTATGTAGTGCCGCAGAGCTTTTGCAGGATGTTGTTACGAGTTCGGAGTTTTTCAGCGGTCTTAATAAGATGCTCTTTTAAGTTCAGCGTTCTGTCAAGTGTAACACCTAAGTATTTTGGGTGTTTATTATATTTAAGGAGTCTATCCCCAAAATTGATTTGAGGTTGATAGTTAGCCATCTTGTTGTACAAATGGAAGCAGGACACTTCTGTCTTAGTTGGATTGGGTTGCAATCTCCATTTGCGGAAATAATTCCCTAGGGCATTTAAATCGTTTGTTAGAATGCGTTCAGTGACCTCGAATTCTTTATGACTTGCGGCAAGCGTCCAGTCGTCTGCGTATCCAAACTTTTTTGATGTGGTTTCTGGCATGTCTGCTACACATGCTGCTGGTGAACAGTATCAACCATCAATGTTGTAGTTATACTAGTATTATAGTATATTACCAGTTATATTAGTTTACTTAATTTTCACAATTTTAAATAACGTTGGCTTTTGTCTTAAGTAGAAACATAGAGCTACATTGACTGCTCTGTGATAATTTCCATCATAACTTAACAATATTATCATCAAATGTCATTGCCAATCAGTTGCACTCATACAGTCCTCGAAGACATACCGTCTCAGGACTAGCAACTTCAACGTGGAGTCATATGTCGCCATGTTACCTAATCCATCGGTAACTTTATCATCTTAAATTATTATAACGTATTTTTAAAACTAAATGTAATTAAACATGTGTTAACGGGTTTTTACCCATATATTTAATCTTGGTGGCTACATTCATGTACTCCTAGTAAGTATTAACCACATTTTTCATTAACCTTAGTCAAAATTTTAACCTATGTTCTTTTTAATTAAGTGGTTAACTATTTTCTAGGACACTGATGATGGAACATGGTTTTCGAAAACGTTATGTCTTTTTAACTTAGCCCGTTTGGGCCTTAAATATACACCTATTACAAAGGATTTTTAATTAAATTTATAAAAATATTTAATTTTCTCATTTGACGTTTTTAGGTGAAAAGTGATAACTTTTTAGTGTAAAAAGGTGTACATTTAAAATGTATTTTTATAAAAAATTAAATTAAAAAAAGTTATCAGACTGGCGTTAGTGACCACACAGTTAGCAATTAAAACTATCCACTTGAAAATATATTAGATTAAAAATTAAATGAATTGAAAATTAAAATTAAAGCAACATGAGGCCGATGTTAAAAGGGTTCACTTTAAGGGAACATACTGAACCCTATACGAAACAAGGAATTCTAGAAAAGGAAACCTAGGAAAGATACCAGTCAACTCTGAGTTGATTAGTTGACTATGTATGATTCACTATAATTCGGGCGCCCAATCGCTGTGGCCCTTTACATGTAACAAAACTTTTTTATAAATACTTATTGATTGTTTAATTAATTTGTTTTAGGTTTGTTTAAAATGACAACTGAGTTAAAAAAGAGGAATAAAGATTTAAAAGTATTACTTAGCGTTGGTGGTACCGCAGCGACGAACTCATCACTTTTTAGGGAACTTTCTAAAAATGATGACAAAATAAAAGCTTTCTTGTCAAGTGCGGCCAAAATAATACAAACCTATCATTTTGACGGCTTAGATATATTTTGGTTCTACCCAGAAGAGCAAGATAAGGTACTTGTTTTTAATGCATTTATTTGTATGGTTTCTAAAAAAGATTATTTTTTACTTTGGTGTGGTCTATCTTAAACTGCACATAAATAGTTTTTCTTGAATCGATTTCTGGTATCAAAGTCAAAGATCATAGAAAGTTACTTATACATATAAATAAACGGATAGTAACGAGATCTACAGAAAAATAAATGGATTTTTTTAAACAACGATGTTATTTGGTTATTTAATATGTATAAAAAAATGTTTATCGCTCTCTATTTTAGGAGGGATATACTCATCTGCTAGAGAAAGTAAAGAATAATTTTAAGAAACAAGGATGGCTATTATGTGTGACCGTACGACCTGGATTGGAAGATGCTGGATACGATCCCAAGAAAATGGATGGGTATGTATGAGAAAAAATAAACTATAGTTACTACATAATACTATCTGAAAGAACGGTGGTTCCCCAAATGTGCGTACAAAATGCGATATGCGACTCTATAGCTTGCTAGTAAATTCTTTTTCATTTGTACTGGTTTACAAAACATCTTTACAAAAAACTCACTGTGGTGTAGCTAAAATAAATTAAAAGACATATTTAAGATACAGATAACTGTATAATCTGTTTATTTCTTTTTATCTTTATTTCCAGACGTAGACAATTCTAACGATCTTTTTAAAAATGTATTCATTAATATTATAATCGTAGTGGCTTAAAAAATTGTTTATCGACATCAGTCATCTTATACTGACAGTTAAATAATGTATAAAGCATATAACTCACATCCCACGTAACATTTTTTTGTGAGAGCTAAACGATATAGTTGACAAATAAAAGTTTTTATAACCCTAAAAACTTCATTATAGGGAATAAAAGGCTTTTTGTTATGTTTTTAACTTAACTAATACATTGAATGGCCTCTTTTTACCTTTTCTATAGCAACTAAAGCTTTACATAACATTTTTGCGTATTGCTAAATAAAATTATTAGTATATCAGTATCTGAGTATTTTACTGTAATATTAGAAACTTCTTGTATCTGATAAATGTGATAAACAATTTTTGTATCAGTCTCTTCGTGGGCAAAGCAACTTAAATTCGGTACACCAAGTTTCTCAACATTTCCAACAGCATCAACCAAAAGTTTTTGGCATTCATAGAAATTAAACAGATTTTTTTTCTATCCAATAAAAAGTGCTGCCTCATTTATCCTTAAAATGTTAAGAAAAATTTAAAAAACGCTTCTTTAGATTTATTGATTTGCAAATTGTTCTGTCAAAACATAACATTATAGTTGTTGATAAAGGACACAATCTTTTGAAAAATAATTTTAAAAAATAAAAGTAGAAATCTCTAAATTAAAAAGATCGCATGTTTTATATTAAATTCCCTGCTTGAATTGCGATGAGGTATATATTAGACAAACCAGTTTACTACTTAACTCAAGAATACGTTCTCACAAATATGACATAAAAATCAATCGCCTCACAAAACATAAAAACAAAAAGACACATAAATTTGATTTTGACAAAATTAAGCTTCTAAAAAGTAAACATAACATGAAAAAGAGTGAGTTTTTAGTGTATATAGAAATCAAAAACAAATAATAATATTCTTAGACCTCCTATGATGTTAAAACAGCTTATTATTTAAATGATAAGCGAACATCAACGACAAAACATTAAATTTTAAAATATATTTTACATAATGTAGTGACTTAGTGGGTCTGACCTATGCTTCTATGATTATTTGAATTGTGATGTTAATTGTATACTTGTTTAGCAACCAACTTTTACATGCTTGGTAAGTCAAAAGTTTCTCTTTTTAACCCTTATTATGTCTTTTGACATAGAAAACCTTTTCCCAAAAAATAACCAATGATGATAATAGGAGATTGAAATGCAAAAATCTTTGTGGTCGTTTATCTTTTTTAATTATTTCTAACAAAAATTCCTCATATGATTTACGTGTTTGTAGAGAAGGTCCAATTGGCGAGACAGTGCTTTGTTTTTCTACTTAAACTTTGTTTGCAAAACTAGCTTCTGTTCTTTTAACCATTGCAAAAATAGAGACAGAAGTATCTGGTTGTTCTGTTCGGACTAAAGCGTTCGAGACATCTGATTGTACCGTATCTGAAGAAGTATGGGATGCTTTTGGCCCTACATTTGAATACTTGTAGTCTTCTTTATTTCCAGTGGCTATATCAGGACTCACATCTAGTTGTAGTGCTGCTGAAGATGTAGACCTACTCTTTTCTGATTGTACTGTGGCTGAGGAAGGGATAGCTACTGAGTATTGGACATTCAAAGAAGCAGTGTCTTTCAAGTGTACTGTAGTGGGCTTGGGAAGATTGGGAATACTGATGTAGAAATTGCATCTCTGTTAGGAATTTGTTTATCGGCATCATAAATTCCTGTAGCTTAAAATCCGTTAATAATATTAATACTAGTTATTTCATGTGCTAGCTTGTTTATCATTTGTACAAATATTTCTTTAGAAATTTTTTTGAGAGGATTTTCCCTCTGTCACTTACTGAGTGCCTTGTCCAACTTTATTTTAGACCTCTAAAGACTGATTTTAATTAATGTGTTATGTGTAGAGGCAACTTTATAAGAGTAATTTTATTTTTTTGTGCTTAACACCACAGTTTTGTAACTTAATCAAATCTGTATACCCATGGGTAGCATAACTATCATAGATTAATAAAAATGGTCTCTCTTTTGTAATATTAGGTAAAAAACATCTCTTAACCAGTTAAAAAACAAAGCAGTTTCCATCCAACCTCGACACGTTGTAGAAACTGCACTTTGGGATATTGTATTCTTATTAATTCAATTATCCATTACGTATTTACCTTTAAATACGTAGAGGAGAGGTATCCTTGGACCATCAGCAGAACACAACAAAACAAGTGTGTTTTCTCGGCCAGACGAACTGGTATTCCTTTTGCTTTTTAACTTCTCCACCATCGTTACCTTCTTTTGAAGTCAGTCCAGTCCCATGCGTGCCTTAGACCCGATGCTTCAGTGTAGTTCGTGGAATATTGTATAATAATGATGCACTCCGTGTTATCTTGATGTCATTTCTAATATTCTTAATTGCCCCATCAAGGTCTTCCGTTGTATATGAGGAGCCAGCACTTTTCTGAGTTCTTCTATGTACGTTCGTACCCTTTTCTAAAACAAAAACAATCTGATATAACCTAGGCTTTGAAAATGTAAAGGATGGAAAAAAAATTAGGTACTAAGGTCCTGAGGGGAAACTGATCCAGGCCCTGGCACAGTTACTCCCGACATAATTCCTAGTTACCCCGAAACAGTAAAAGCTCTCGGGGTAACTAAACTAACCTTAAAACTAATAAAATAAGCATGCAAAACCAATTTAAACATTGTTATTAGATTATTAATCAATACTTTTATACTAAAATAATGTACATGACAAGCACGCCCCGTTTATTTCATAAAAAATGACTACGAATTTAAATTGGACTTCTCACAGAAACCAAAAGTAATGTGAAGGTTAAAATTAATGTTTTGGAGAGAAGGCACATTCTTGCAGTAAAGCCAACAGCAAAAATCTTAAATACATTTACAGTTTAATACTGAAAAAGGTATGGCTCAAGCACTCCCTGGGTCCAGTTGCTCCCATCAACCTATAGTTTGTCCATACTTTCGATTACGAGCAAAATCCGGATCCAGCTCTCCGTCTATAATGGATTAAAAAAATGCTAATGTTGAGAGGTTGCTTAGACACGCATGTTACATCAAAAGTAAAAATAAAAGTATAATTATAGTGATACGCATCTCAAGTCGATACTAAGAAAAAATCTTGTGGAGAGAGAGATAGATGACATTAGACAAAGAATCTTTTTGTCAAGATCTTCTTCCCAAAGATATTAAATGAGAAAATTTATTTCAAAAAGTTTAAAACTAAATGAAAATTTATTTTCTACCACTTTTGACTTTGCTTTTTATATATAAGAAATAGTAAAATGTTAACGGAGTATCCATACGAGATAAGCTATTAAACACATGTGACATATATGTAATTCTAACATGATAATTTTACGGCAACTAATCTGCCAACTTGACACATTAGTCTGTTCGTTCACACTGTGTAACCGAAATCATACTTTTAGGATAGTGGACTGGGTGAATCTCAAAACCTACGATTTTTACGGAAGCTGGAGCTCTTCCACTGCCAATCATAACTCTCTTTATTCTTCCTCAAAAGAGTATAACTGGGAGAAAGAGCATTCTAACATAGCAGCAGCTGCTAAAAACTGGCTCAATGCAGGTCTATCCAAAAAGAAGATGATTTTAGGTGTTGCATTCTACGGAGTGAGTTTTGAGTTGAAAGATAGCAATGAAACTGGTATACATGCTCCGGTGATAAAAGGATCTGCTCTTGGGGAACTTAGATACTACGAGGTAAGTGATATAAACTGCTATATTTATTAATTTTAGGGGAATTTTATAATATAACACTATGCAGAAAAGAAATTTTTTTTTTAAATTAATTCCTTTTAGAGACTATCTGCAAAACCACCTATTCTCTGTTCACAAATTGTTGATAGCACAAAATATGCCTCAAAATCATCAAACGGTCGTAAAATTTGTATCATCATAGGCGTTCCTGAGGTGTTTATTCATTAAAATTAATATTAATATTAATAATGTTTTAATACTGATATATTTAGTAAAAAACAATTAAAACTTTCACGGCTAATGTTGGTTATTATATTATACTAATAAAAATAATAATTTAACCATTAACAATTTTGTAAATAAGAATACCTTATCTCTTTGGATATTTCATTACTAATCTTCGCGTTTAATCACTTTACTAGAAAACCTGGTATTTATATCCGAAGGTACTATCCGTTGCAAGATAATTAGGATGGAATTCCCCAGATTTTTAATAATATAATGGGTATAGATGCCGGATTTGGCCACGTACCTCGTCTGTTTAGTTTATATTCGAAACTTAACTTAAAAGGGTGAAGTTATTACGAACGAAAACAGTTTGTTTGTTTAGTACGTTTTTGATCGCATGTAATTTACGGCTCGTCGGTGTTTCCGCTTCTACGGCAGTAATTAGCGTCTCGAATATTTCTTTTGCGAATTATATGCAGTGCGTGAGTGATTTTTTATTCCATATACCTACGAACATATACGTACCTTTCGCTCGTGCTCGTTTTGTTGGATTGTTTGTGATGGCTTCATCATCAACATCATCAAGTTTTACACCGGTACTGTTGCGTACAGTCAGTAAGTCTGTCTATTCACCAAGAGAGAAGACTATTGTCCTGAATGTTCACGATGCTCTGGTTTCTCAGAATCCCACAAACACTGTTCGCAACATAGTCGAAAGTTGTGCCAACATGACTGGCGTAGGGGAGTCAACTATATATAGGTTCCTATCAGAAAGAAAAAACACGGTATAGCTAATCAAAACACAAACGAACACTTAAAGAGAGGGAAAAAGCCTATTGAACTTGATGAATTTGCCAAAAATGGTATTCGAAGGAAAATTCATGGATTTTTTTTTTCAAAAAAGAAATACCAAACCTAAATAAAATTTTACAAGAAGTTAGAGATGATCCGGATTTGCCTCATATCGGACGAACTAAATTGTGGCAAGTTTTAAAAGAATTAAATTTCCGGTGGGAGAAATCAGACCGAAAATCACTTTTGATTGACCGGGAGGAGATAATATGTTGGAGAAGAAATTATCTAAGATCCGTACAAAAATTCCGGGCTGAAGGAAGGCCAATCTTCTACCAGGATGAATCGTGGGTAAACTCAGGTCATACTCTAAAAAAAGTTTGGTAGATAAAAATATATTAAGCTCCAGGCAAGCCTTTATGGAAGGTTGGTCTACTGGTATCTCCCCACCTTCTGGTAAAGGCGGTAGAGTAATAATTTCTCACATTGGCAGTGAAAAAGGATTTGTTAAGCATGGTTTGTTGGAATTTCAGTCCAAAAGCACAAAAGACTATCACGAGGAGATGACAGCTGATGTTCTCGAAGAGTATTTTGTGCAGATGATTGAACACATACCACCAAATTCAATTATAGTATTAGATAATGCACCTTATCATTCACGACTAGTAGAAAGACTTCCAACGACTGCGTGGAACAAACAGGATATTCTTGACTGGCTGCGGAATAAGTACCTGCTTAACGAAGATGGAATGGTAAAAGCAGAACTTTTAAAAATTGTCCGGCAACACAAATCTAAGTTCAAGAAATACGTAGTTGACAAAATGGCGAAAAGGAGAAACATCACAGTCCTTAGACTTCCACCCTATCACTGCGAAATAAATCCAATTGAACTCATTTGGGCACAAATGAAAAGTTATGTGGCTAGAAAAAATACGTCATATAAAATACAAGCTGTACGTGAATTGTTATACGAGTCTTTACAACACATTACAGAACAAAACTGAAAAGATGCAGTAAGACATGTAATAGAAGAAGAAAAAAAATGTGGGATCTCGATAACATAATTGATGCGACCGTAGAGACACAACCGCTAATTATTAACCCTCAAGATGACTCGGATTCCGAAGTTGATCCTATTTATTTTGAATTTGAATAGTTTTCTAATCGTAATTATATAAGGTAAGTGATAGTAGTTGTAATCGTAAGGTATTAAAGGGGAAAGGCGCAAAACGTTGCCTGTCAAAATGTTCAATGTGTTTTAAATGTATCGATTTTTTTTCAAATCCTGAGAAAACTAAAAAGCCTTTTTGAAAAAATTTAAAGGGAGAATAAAATATTTATTAGAATAAATAAAAAGTTTCTTTTGCATGCAATATTTTCAATTAAAAATTATACTATATTCTCTCTTTTATTTTCACCCCTGTTGCATAACACAATAAAATAAACATTGTAGAAGTTTTCAGTTACTTTCTGTAATATACATCAGTATACACATATATAATACCCTCAGTAATAATGTAATCTTTCATTCTGCTTTTAAATTTTTCAAAAATATTTATTAGTTTTCTCCGAATTCGAAAATAATGGATACATTTACATAATGGTAAAACACATTTGGTGCCTTTCCCCTTAATTAAATACATGTATCTTTTACAAATGGCAAAAAACTTTATTTTTGAATAAAATATTTTATTTTATTATAAGTTTTATTAAAACAAAAATACAATTTAAAAAATATATTTATTTAGTTCAAATAAATGTTTCAATCATATACTCTACGACACTGGTCGGCCAAAATACGTTTATAATCGGATTATAAGCTTGACCGCTCTATTGTATTCCGGCAGATACAAGGTGGGTTAGTCGAAAACATCTTAAATTGTCAGTTTCAGGTTGGTTTTTACTATTATATCGTATTACCTATCCTCTCTGTATTTCAGTTCTCTAATTAGGATTAAACTTGTAGTAAGCTATCAACAAATTGTGAACCGATAGAGTATAACTTGTTATAGTGTAACTTGCTAACCTAATTTATAAATATGAAAATGGTAATATAAAAATGGTAATTCCAACTAAGAAATCGAAAGTAATATGAAGAAATATCTTATCAAAAACTTATGTAGCTATATGTAGCTAGAGTTTTGTGCTAAAAACATGAAAAAAAAAATATCGAAAAAAAGAGGGTTTGTCATATTTAGAGCATGTTTTGGTCTGAAAATGGTCAATGGAAAATGATAAATAATCCCACTATTAAAAATAACGAAAAAATAACACAAATTGCTATTTATTGCCATGTACTTAAGTTTATGTGATAAAACATTGAAAAAATATTTAAAAAATGGGTTTTTTCGAATTTTAAGAATTGAATATTTGCAAAAAAATACCTACATAACCTAAACATTATTTGAAACATTATTATATTTTTCCTGAGCTCAATTTTTTATTCAAAAAATCTTGGATAAAAATCCTGGTTTTTGCGCATGAAAATATTTAAATGTTAATCGCCACTATAATAAAGGCAAAGACATTATGCTCAAAACATGGGAAAAATATTAGAAAAGAGCATGTTATGGTCTGAAAATGGCACTAAAATCGTTATTTATCTACGTACAGTTGAGTTTGTGTGCTAAATATCCATGTGAAAAAACACCAGCAAAATTGGTTTTTACAAATTTTAAGGACATTTCGGAGCAAAAATGGAAAATCTTACTCTATCATTTAAAAGAACCAAAACAAATACACGTACATAACCTAATTTTTTTTTAAATTCAAATATTTTTGCTGGGCTTAATTTGGATCCAAAAAATCTAAAAAAAAATTATAGATTTTTATAAGATAATAAAACTACGACTCAATAAACTGTTGGCTTTCACTGAGGCCGCACGACTCTTTAAAGTTTAATGAAAAAAAAAAAAACTGAGGATGGTACACAGCTCTTTGGACGAATTACCAGAGTTTAGCGTATCTTCTCCGAAATTAGAAGAAGAAGAAAGCAATTGTATAGATTGTCTACAAAATTTAGGTTAGATAAACATTCAAATGAGGGAAGTGTTATTGCATAGCGTATTAAATTTTTATCGATGGTTCATTTGAAAATACTCTTGGAAAAGACACTCAAACCATGGAGGAGAAAGTGCGAAGGAATGGGCATACCAGTAAGAGACGAATACCTATACACCTTAAGTTTTGCCGACGATCAAGTAGTCATCGCACACAATGAAGAAGATCTCAGCTTTATGCTCAGAAAACTAGAAGAAGAATATAAAAACAACGGAATGGAAATAAACTTAGAGAAAACCGAATACCTAACAACAGAAAACAAGGATATGAGAAACCCAGAGATAGACGAGGGAAGACAAGTAAATGGAACAGATAAATTCAAGTATTTAGGAACCATAATATCGAACCAGGGAACAACAGAAGAAGATATAAACAACAGACTAAGACAAGCAAGAAACTGTATAAGACAACTAAATTCAGTGCTGTGGGATAAGAACATTACGATAAAGACAAAAAAGAGAATATATAATACCCTGACAAGAAGTATCCTGACATATGGGTCCGAAAACTGGACAATAAACAAGAGAAATAGAGGTAAAATAAGAGCAGTAGAAATGAAGTTCCTGAGGAGAAGCTGTAGACTTACAAAAAGAGACAGAATTGAAAACGCAGAGATTAAGCGGAGAATGGGAGTGCAATCAGACATTATCGACTATATAGAGGAGAAGAGACTATCCTGGTACGGCCACGTCAGAAGAGCGGACAGAGGACGCTGGATAAACAAAATTACAGAATGGAGCCCGATCGGAAGAAGAAGGAGAGGAAGACCCCGAAGGTCATTTAGAGACAAAATCGAAGAGGCTATGGAGAAAAGAACCCTGCGAGATGGAGACTGGAATGACAGGGAAAATTGGAGAAAACGGATGAGTGAAGGAAGACAGTGAAAACTGGGGAAATCCTTAGTAGTAGTAGTAGTAGTCATTTGAAAACTAAAGTAGTAGTAAAGTGATCGTATTATTAAATGTATATTTTTTGTTTTAGATTTGCTCACAATCCGATAACTTTACAAAAGTATGGGATGACGAAACCAAAACACCATATTTGTACAATGATACATACTGGATTGGTTATAATGACCCTACCGCTGTTTGGATAAAGGTTTGTTATTTGAAACAAGTGCTTCTTAATAAAGAATTCACAAGAAGTCGAATAAAACATGTTTTATACTTTAATTTGCTGCAAAAGTAAAGATGCATCATTAAAGCGACTCACAATTACGAGATTAGAGTTATGTGCTGCCCTACTGGGAGTACAATTATTAATAGCCCAAATTTTTAATGCCAATTCACCGTTAGTGCCGACATACTATTGATCCAACTTTCAGATAGTAGTATGTTGTATAAACAAGGATCCTAATCAGTTAAAATAATTTCGTAGTCAATCGCGTCGCCAAAATTCAACAGTAAAGCAACAAGGATGATTGGCAGTATGCTAATACTAAAAAAAAATCCTTCAGACCTGGCTTTCAGAGAAGGTGTACCAGAAAATCTAGCTAACCGCGAATTATGGTAAAAGGGGCCAATTTTTCTAAGTAGTCCTATAGACAAACACGCACCTTCGGCAATGCCTGATATCGAACTTCCTGAACAAAAAGTTGAAAGTTCAATGCTATTGGCTACCCATTTTGCACCACTCTTTCTTGATTTTATTATATTTCAACTTTAAAACATATCGTTAGTTATCGTCTTCCATTTTGTGATAACGCTGGTAGAAAAAGTCCAAAAAGAACGATAGGTCCTTTAACTCTTTCCAAAGTAGAGCCAGCATCATTGCGGTTAATAAAACTTGTACAATTGGATTCATTTGCGGAGGAAATATCTATTTTAAATTCCAATAAACCATTACCAGTTAAACATACATTTTTAAATCTTACTCCCTTTTTAGATGAAAACTATGTCTTACGAGTAGGGGGGAGTAGGCGGAAGTGCTATTACATGCAAGTCCTCATCTCCTTTCATCAGTTCGACAATAGTATTGGCCAATTCGGGGGAGAAACTGTGCGTGACAAACTGTAAGAAATTGTGTTACTTGTTTTAAATTTAAAACCTACATTTGCCAGTTGTCCAAAGTCCAATTTGCCTGAAGCTCGCACAATCCCATCACTGCCATTTCAGCACTGGCATATATTTTGCAGAACCATTTTTACTTAAAAATATATCGGGTAGAGGAGCCAAAGAAATAAAAGGTTATATTTGTGTTTTTTTATGCTTTTGTACCAAATCAATTTATCTTAAACTCATTTCAAATCTCCCAACCGACTGTTTTCTATCCTTCTTGAAGCGTTTCATAGCTTGACGAGGTATTCCAAATGACATTTATTTAGATAACGGATCCACTTTTGTTGCAGCTCGCAATAAACTTAAACAATTTGCAATTTGCAAACAATTTGCAATAAACTTAAACTTTAAAAACTAATATTTACAATTACGCTATTGAACAAAATATAAATTAACATTGCATTCCACCGTATGCGTCTAATTTTATCGGTCTTTGGGAGCCGGCAGTTTAAATCATGAAACACCATTTAAAGCAGTCGATAACTAATCTTAAAAAGTAATCTACCAGGATTTCAATTCTAAACTGATTCAGATCGAGGAAATCTTGAATTCTAGACCTATGTTTGCACTCTCTAATCCCCCACCGATAATTACTTTTTACAACTATTTATTATTCACTATATTTATACACGTCACTTAATTTAATCTAAAATCGTAGCTGGAGCTTTATTGCATTTACTTTGTGTTTCAGCTCTGAAACAAAAAAGTAAAATTGTTTTAAACTTATTAGACCAGTTCCGGTTTTAAAACAAAAAATTTAACTATTTATATTTATGGTGAAGCCATGAATGGTGAGTGAAGCTTAATATGGTAATATTGCATATCTGTAACTAATACTCAAAGAATAAATTAATAACCGCGACCATTGCAATAACCAACAATCAACACCTATAACAACAGAATTGCTAATGGCTGCTTTCTGCTTCGCCTTCTGCTTTTGTTATTTTGCAACTACCAACAGATGGCACTCACGCTCACAATGTTGACACAAAATTGAAACATCGTCTTGAACTTAACAATATTGCAGTAATATTGTCGCCAACTTGCCTCGTCATATTTAACGTAACAATTTAGAATCAAACACAAAATCAAACTTGGCCTAAGTTTGAGTGATACCTGGGATATTAATTTACAAACGTAATATCTAAAAAACCTTTGCACAAAAAGAGTAGGTAAGGTTCTTCTAGAAATTTATATCGAAATCGAATTTTTAAGTACAGGGTGTTAACAAATGCTATTTCGTTAAATTTTAAACCGCAGTAACTCAATAATTTTAAATAAAACACCCTATATTTTATAATTTTACCGAAGAAAGAACTTAATTATCTTTGGTATTGGATTCTCTATACCCAAACTTAGTAAATAAATATAAAGATAACTGTGGTTTAATGTTGAGGGTACAAGATTGATTGTTTTATTTTAGTAGGCCCTTTATAAATATGTCATAATTGTCATTATTTGTAGTTATTGGCACTTTTACAAAGTAATAGAAATGTTTTTTTTTATAATTATCTAATAAAGATTGTGTACATTTACTTTAAATGCATGGATAATATGACAGAGTTATTATAAGAATATGTGCTGTATTTGCTAAAAGATATCCAGATCTACCACGACCTACCTGTAACATTGTAAAGAGATTACTTAAAAACACATTTGTGATTGCTTTTAACACAAAAATTTACACAGTAAAGACTATTGTTGATAATAAAGTGCATACAATGAATGTTTTTGTTTACTATGCTGCTTATCCCGAAGAGTAATTACGTTGAGATGAGGGAGATTTAGGTATACCAATACAATCTATTCAGCAAATTAAAAAAACAACAATTCCATTTTTATTCTTACAACCCAGTTCAAGGTTTAAAGAAAACAGACCATAATAACAGAATCGCATCCAACAAAATAAAATTAAAAAAAAAACAGAATGTTTAATACGCACAATTTGCAGTGCTGTCAATCAGAGACAACCAGGTTGTTTTTAGCTATAAAAAAACCTTAAAACTATTTAAAAGACAATTAGTTTCTTTTTTAATAAAAAGTTGGGTGTTTCAATTACTGTGGTTTGAAGTTTAAAGGAATGACGTATTATTTGTAAACACCCTGTATTTAGAAATTCCATTTTGATATACATTTCTGAAAGAAGTTTACCTACTCTTTGCGTGAAAAGGTTTTCAAGGCATTATGTTTGTAAATGGATGAGATATTAACTTTGAAAATATTGTCTTCTCAATCAAATTTTTGACTGACTCAAAAATATGTTTTTATTTATGGTAGCATATACAAGTTTTGTCTAGAATTTTACGCAAAATCTAAAAATGTAAAAATATATATACAACCAAACTTACATGAGATCACCATGTATTTGAAACCAATATTTATTTCTTTTGGAAAAAGTTGTTATTGTTGAGAAGATAAAAATTTTTATATTAAAAATTAACAAACCGATAAAACAATCAGATAACCCAGCTTTGTACGGAATAGATTATTTGTTATAGTTTGTACATTAAACACATAAATAAACTTACTTTTGCGAAACACTAAAAACTAAAAACGAAAATATGCCTTATGTGGGGTCAACGGGTCAACGCAGGTACAAAGGAGAAAGATTATTAGTATTGTGGAACAAGGAATGTCTCAGTTTAACAACACTTAAGAAAAGATTAAGACAAAGTGGCCAAAAAGTAACGGTGGCTCGCCACGATCGTTTCATTGACCCATTAGCTAGAAGAGACCCAGTAGACAGTTCCGGGTTCCCAACTTATCCAGACAGCTCAATACCCAGTAAGCACAAGTACGTACATAAGACATACTAAGTATGTACTGATGGGACATAAAGTACGCACAATGTACGTACTTTGCTGTACCAAGTACGTACTTAATACGTACATAAAACGTACATTTTCCAAATTATGGTACGTACCTAGTACGTACTGTTATCACCTCCAGTGTTATCACCTCCTTGAAAAATCATTGGAACTCTATTAAACCTAATTGCCCTGTTTCTTGGGATATTTTTGCAGAACTTTTGCAACTAGTTTTTGACACTAACTTCTTGGTTTTTGAGGACAAATTTTACCTCCAAATATTTGGCACACCTATGGGTTCCTCAATTTCACCCATCCTAGTTAACTATGTACTAGATGATTTGGTTTCTGACCGTTTAGGTCGCTTAGAATTTCCAATCCCTTTTATTAAGCGGTATGTGAATGATTTATTATTAGCCCTACCACCTGACAAGGTTCAGGGTACCTTATCTTTTTTTAATGAATTTGATCCTCACTTACAGTTCACTGTTGAACTTGAGGACACTGTCATAAATAGTATCCCCTTTTTAGACATGCGTGTCATCAGAATGGGAGATAACACCCTGACCACAAGTTGGTATAGAAAACCAATGGCCTTCAATAGGTTCCTTAATTACCATTCCTGTCACCCTATGAAATATAAATTGAACCTTATTAAAGCACTTAGTTGCAGATTACATAAATTGACACATCCGATTAATCGAAGGGAATCCCTTAAGTTATTGAGAAATATTCTAATTAAAAATTCATATCCATCCTCCATCATAAATAAATACCTATATTCTCAAAGTTATGGATCCTCTTTTGATGATATACCCAATGGTGACCAACTTAGAACCATCTCTAATAATTCAGTCAATAGCATTGTTCTGCCTAATGCTGATCTTGAGAATCCTACCACCCATTATTCATCTCTGCCTTATTTTCCTCAAGTTACTGAGAAGCTTATTAAACTGTATAAACAGAATAACATACCAGTTAAAATTGCAGTTAAGAACGCTAAGACTGTTAGAAATTTGTTTTCTAAAACTAAAACACCCTTGTCGACTTTGGAACAAGTTAACACTATATACTACTTACCTTGTGCTGAGTGTAACGCTTGTTATATTGGTAAAACTGGAAGATCACTAAAAGGACGTCTTACTTCGCATCGAAATGACATTAATCTGTCTAAGCACACATGTGCGTTAGCGCAACACGCAATTAACACCAAACATAAAGTGAATTTCAATGA